AGGGGGCGGTAAGTAGTAATAAGGGGGCGGTATTTAGTAACACCCATATTGGAAAGGAAGGAAAGTTGTTTTTTTTTTTTTCTTTTTTTCTTGGGAGTAAGAGAGTGATACTGTAGTGAAGAAAATGGATTTTACTCCGTCTCCAAGTGGGTCGAACGAAGTATAACACGCTACCAGCTACCTCCATAGCTTTATCTAAATCAGTTTTTTTCCCTTTTGTTTTTTCTCAGCCTCTCAATAGAACTAGTTCGGATTCATTTTGTTAAGTTTTATATATATTTACGTGAATATAAAATAAATAATTAAAACATAAATAATAAGAATATTATAACATTTTTGTTTGGTCAAACCATCATCACCGCAAACTAATATTTTTAAGCTATTTTGATTTGTAACAATATATATGAGGTGATATATTAATAAAAACACCTCGGCATGTTGTTAGACACTCATTTTCATATTAAAGATGAAGAATCAACATTGATAGGCGATGTTCATTTCCATATTCACTTTCACTTTTCCAAATTCCAGTCAACGTAATACCCTAAAGTGTGAATTCAATCTTGTTCCTTCTAAACAATTGTTTAAATAAATAATTAATATAATTTTTACACAAAAGTATAATAAAGTTAAATAAATGAAGTGCTTACTCTAGGTTCATGAGAGTAAACACAATTATTTGTGATACGTTAGTTTCAGTTACGATCGAGTTGCACACCTCCCACCTTGAACAAGTCTCTTCCTTGAGCTCCTGATAACATGCAATACGTCGGGAAGGGGGTCCTGGCGGAAAAACTCTCCGACTCTCAAGTCAGAACTCACCCAAAGTTGTGTATATAGGATATGTAAGATAATCATAGAATTGTGTGTTATGTAATATGAATAAACCTGTTGTCCATATATATGACTTTGGAGCCTTTAAACCAAAGAGAGTCCTTGTTGGGGAAGAGTTCAATCGGGATTCTACTTCTCTAACTTACCACGTCTTTATTATGGCAAGAGTCCTTGGGAGAATGGTCTTTTCTTCTTACTTAGATTTTCTCCCTTTTTACTGTTTTAGCCCGGGGATACTTAGGTCGTGATCCCGACCTCCCATCTTGTCTCCTATGGCCCTTCTGAGGACATCCTTGACCTTGTCTTTAGATCTAGCCGCCCTCACCTTCAGGTCCAACCTGTCCCCAGGCCATCCGACCTTGATGTACATCAAGTCGACTACTTTACCGGGCTCTTGGAGGGTGGTACCTCCAGGTCGGGTTAGTTCTGTAAGCTAGGCACCTCAAACCCATGTCAAGGCTACTTGTCTGAGCATCCTTCTTCTTATCTTTTAGGAGTTCTCCTAGCTCGGTTACAACCGAACTACTTTCTCAGACCAAAATGCTGAGCTGTGTTCTGTGTTCTTGGTACTATATCATCTAGCCCCTCCATTTCAGGATGAGCTAATCTAGACTTGTGCTGAAATGGAATTTTATGCTTGAACCTGACACCTTTCTTTTACTTTATTCAATGTACCAAGTAATTTCGGGAGAGCATGAGGCGCGAAAAGGGACCTTTTACCTGCACGGATCCCGCTCTATGCATAGTGGCTATGTGGGTGTTCCTCACCAAATTCTGTACGATATTCTAAGCCCTTGATTCGGGCTCCTAACGGTCGGATTTGTTTTCCATAATGTACCTTATATAAGAACCTACCTTCTGCTTGCCACCTCCACTATCTTATGTACTTTGCTTTATCTCCAAAAATCATTTCCTTCATTCTTTTCATTTACTTAGACATCAATTGTCATTTGTTACCTCTTCTTTCATAATTACTGGAATCGGTTTTTCTACTTCCAAACATATCTTCTTCTACATCTTCTTCTCAAAATCGTCTGAACCTCTTGATTGATAACTTTCTGATCCTCCAAGCCTCCCTTATAGCCGCTATTCCCATTTCTTCTGAAGTTATGCTCAAGTAATGTTCTCCAATGCAATGCTCAACATTTATTCATTATGTACTATGTTAAAAAATTAGCTACATTAAAGTAATGTTCTCCAAAGCAATAATCATGATCACAATCTCTCATTTCCAAATTAGCTCCAGCCACCGGGTCTAAACATTTGCCATGAAAATTATGCATATCATCCTGACAGCAGAGATTCTACTCAGTAAATCCTTAGGCATATGCCTCAAAATCATAAAAATGTTTTCACTAAAATAAAATTGTCACAAAAGACTAACAACAAATGACATTGTTTATATAGTCATAACTTAAATGATCAACACGGTACAAATGCACTACATACAATTTTTTTTCGATCAATATGGAATCATCTAGCCATCTTGTTTCTCTTTGTCTGTCGTAGGGTATTGCTTCCTTGTCATAAGGCTGAAGTCAATCGGGGCTGCATTTTTTCCATCGAACAAAAGGTGGGTTGTCTCGAAATACTTCATGCCGTAAGTGCGGAAATATTTGCTTGGATCGACTTCCTGCCAACAAAACAGAATGAATCAGGGAAAAAACATTTAATTGAGTGTGCCAAAACATCTCTCTTGAACAAAATGATCTAACTTTATCATTATAGAGAAGTCCAACGATTTCTAGAAGCACAATACCTTATTAATGGAATACCAACAAGTATCATGGACTTCTACTTTGTTGGTATTCACATTGTAATGAACTCCTGCATTGTTCAACCACATGGAAAAAGATTTGTACTGCTCACGAAAACTCTGCACTCGTTCTTTTAAATTAAATGTGGTGAAGTTCTTCTTAAACTTTTTCATTAACCGAGATGTTATTAGACAGATGTATGTATTGAACATTCCAGGATTATGTTCGCAGCATGTTCTAGTTGTTCGTAAATAAACTCTTCTTCATTTTGATTCCAGTCAGACACTATCATTACAGATGTATGCTATTCTTCTTGTCATTTTTTTCTCCAAAACAAAAAGCAAATACGGATTTTAGCAACCAAAGCGACTACCCAAGCAAGAAAAGAGACTCTATCAACCCTTACTTATGTTTTTCCTATATATATAAAAAACTTTATAGGGCATATTGTCCCAATAACATAACTCAAACAATACATTATAATCAACTATACACGAAAAGAAAAAATAAAAGAATATAATATAATCAACCCATTGATGACCAGTATTCTGCCTAAAGAAGTTTTTGAGTTTTCGGGAGGGGCGAGTGCCATTTTCTTTGTTGGGATAAATACGACGGTAATCTTGGAAGAAAATGTGAAAAAAAAAGAGGCAAAATATAATGTCAGGAAAAATAATGTAAACCAAACAAGTTAATAGAATATCAGTCTTATATTTTGGTGGTCCAATATAACAACCAAACAAAAATTTTGGTGTGATAAGGAGATAAAGATTAGTTGATATTTAGATTATAAATTGTATCAAGCCCAATCCGTTTATGCAACCAAACGTATCCTAAATAAATTTTCCAATAGAAAAAGATATAGATAAAAAATAAGGACACAATGTGACCTTTTCAAAACATTTATTACACTAATATATGTGCTTAATAATAAGGTAAAAAAAATGTTTTGTTCAGTTCCATTTTTTACGCTCCAA